TACACACATACAGTAGATAAAGACACACTCATACACACACAATTTAGTGTATTTGACTACATACAGACAGGGTCATGTTACTGAGGGGAGATTAGAGATTTCTGATGTAGGTCAGGACTATCTCACTCTCCATCTGAATGTTTGATGTATCTCTCTACATCCAAACCCCCCGTTCTGTTTCTCTCCTTTGGTAGCAATAATGTTGTTTTACTGTCAGGTTATATGATAACTGGTTATATATCTTGTGAAAAATGCAAAGCATAGGTCAAACATTTAACCAAACATTAAGCTGGGTGTGTGCCAATTAATATGAAAAACATCACATTATTAATATGTTTGATATTTTGATGTGAATGTGAAAGGGGTCACTTGTACAGATAGTTCTAAACTAATTCTGCAGCTCTATGCAGCTTTTAGCCAAGTGGAAAATTAAGGTTAAGGTAAAGACGATGTTGGTGTTTTTAAAGGACAATCAACTACTAGAATTTGGGCAGCATTACAGGACAGTTTTTGTGAATCTGTTTTAGTATTTTTCTGCCCTCTAGTGGTCAAACATTAAAGTTCAACCAAACTGTCTAAAATCAAAATCTTAAAATGGCTTGTAAATGTAAGAAAAATAACTAGGAGATAGATTTGTTTGTTTACTCATAAATATGTTTTTCTTCTTGTTCCTACAGTTAAATGTTTGATCCTCACTGTGCAGAATTTGACACTAGAAGGATGTTTGCACATTCATCTGCTGAAAGTGGAAAGATTCATAGAATATTTTTTGAGGGGCTTTTATTGCCGATAGTGACGGCTCAGGATAGACAAGGGGCAGAGAGAAAGGCCCATAGGTCGGAGCTGAACCCATGGCTGCTGCAGCAAGGACCCAGCCCTAACTAACTTCATTTTGTTTTTATAACACCAGCATGCACCTGTCAACCACGCAGTCTCTTCACCTCATGTCTCGCCCTCCTGTCTCACAGATTGAAATCCTGTGTCTCACATACAATTCCTTGTACACACACAAACTGTGCCGCAATTCAGGGGCTGCGTGTGCTTTGAATTCCGCATTTCAAACCTCAACACGTCACAATGACTCAACAAGACTGTCTAGTCCTGAAGGCTCCTCCAGACGCAGCAAAAACACACCCTTCTTTTATAATTCAACAGGCCACGACTGTTGTGCACCATGTCACTTGTTTGGGAGCCCAGAATGACGCTGCTGTGAGGTCTCCATAGACCTGAATCTTATTTGGGAGGATGTAAACATTCAGCCCACCAGTCTCCAGTCCTCTGAGGGATACACCGCCGTTGTTTGCTTAGTACGAAGGATGCAGCCCCTGGGAAGCTCCTATGGTGTGTTATTTGGCAGTTAGCCAGCTCCCATTGACGTTTACAAAATAAAATCTCTGCAGGCTCTTTCTTATTCCTCACTACCATAAATGAAAACAATACTACTGCTCCAAAAGAAAAATCTCTCTCAACTCATACAGAATTTAACTGGGTAGTTTTGCCAACTTTGTTTTAAAGGTAATATATATATATGAGCAGCAAACTTTGGGTTCTACTGGGTTTTTTCAATGCACAGGTCCATCTTTTATATCTTTAGACAGGAGCTTTTAGGGTCAGAAACCTGTGAAAACCTCTAATGTACTGCCTTCACTCAGCTGCCCCAGAGACTCCCCCTAACGCTGCTGCCTGGCCTACAGTACAACCTACAAGACTGTGGTTTTACTGGTCGGCTCCCAGGTGTGAAAGCTTTTAAGTGGATGAATGTGAAGCACATGAGTAGATGGTATGTAGATGGCCTGACGTATGCGCTGTGGCGCGCTGATCCCTTGGGGGGTGTCCCGGAGAAACCCGAGCGTTTGATGAGACTCACCCAATGGGTCAGGAGGTCAAGCTGTGCTTACAGCAGCGGTAACAGTGCAGCCTGAAGTCGAAAGGCATCTCTGTTGTGTGACAGTTGTTACAAACAGAGCTGACCTCCGACCTTTGGGGTTTGCATGTAAAAGCTGTTACACAAGAAGTACCACTGTACAGACATGGGAGGAATGTTTTTAGAACAAGAAAGGGGAGAGGCAATCTTGTAAGTGCTTGTGAGTAAGCATGTTTTTGTGTATGAATGTGTGTTAGGTGTCACTGGCTCTTTAGACTTTTGACAAAATATCCCACCTTTGATCTTATCGCCATGACTACAGAAAAAAGGACTTCTACTTACGGGATGCCGATCTCAAAGATGTTGTTCTGGATCAGCTGCTTCCCCAGCATGATGATGCTAAGCTGAATGCACAACTCAATGAGGCAGCCCCCTGGCGCACACTGAGGGAGACACACATTTCATGTGGTCACTTTCAGTCATCATCACTTTATGTTTGACTAATTCAGCCAAGTGAAAAGAAACAACAAGACGCAAAGTCAAATGACAAACCTCTTCCATCCGGTAATCATTAAAGACATACACGTAATTTCCAGGCCGACCAGCAAACCTGCGAACACACAAACACACAATTAAGATTTAGAGGCTAAATTCACACTGACTTTTTATTATGGCATCAAGTGTAATCCAGTTGTTAATGCATGGTGCAAGTGCATATTTTCACTGTCCAAAGAATGTCAGGGCTCAACAATACGGACTGCAGGCTTGCCCCGGGCAAGTTAAATGCCACCCTCAGGCTAGTAAATCTAGCCCAATCGAGCAAGTGGTAAAAAAGAACTCAACACATCAGTTTTTCTGGAGATTATGACGTTGGAAGTGGCTAAAGAGAGAGGCATCTCACCTCTTTCCCATCTCTGTTGAGAGTTGCACATGCTCAGTGCCACTCAGGACACTTGCAAGAAAATGGCAACGGGTAAAGACAAAGTTTGCTGAAGTGCATTTCAATTATCCTGGAAACAGGAATTTAGGTGATGTTAAGAGGATGTGGGCGAAACTCCAACTATATATTGTGCAGTTTGCTGCAGGTTTGAGAGCAAGCTGGATAGAAAGGGGTTTGTTTTCAAAGGCACATCAACCGACAGCATCTGACTTAAAGCTGCACTCTTCATGTATCTCCAGATTTGGATACATTGAATTTTTTACATAAATGGAATGATTAAATCTTCCTTTATTCTCCTTATTGAACTAAATGTACCCATTGAGTTAACTGAAAAACGCTTTGTCACAAAGCTGAAAACAACACTGTTTTCTTATCATATATAAAATTGGCATTTTGGAGTTGGTTTTCACAGGACAGCGATGCACAAACACACTCTCACACACACGAAAGCAGGACTCACCGTCCCTTGAAGAAAGCCACGTAGAAGATGGGTGCGTATGCGTTCATAAACTTGAGCAAGAAGGCTTTCAGGATGAGACGCTCCTCAAAGTTGGTTTCTGTTTTAGGAATCTCTGAAAAACAGGTCAAGTGAAACTGTGAGAAAGACACGTTGTTGTTTTGGGCGGTCAGTGGACGGCAAGAAAAAAGAGCATGTTAAATGACAAATGAAATGGAAGGTATGTATGGTATATTAGGCTTGGCTAACGTATTTTATAAATGGGTTTTTCCTCACTGTTTTTGTACAGTGTGTGTCTCGAGGTGGTGATTACATGAGAACTCAGACTCTGTTCTGAGAAAAGTGGTGATTCTGGAGTCATAACATAATCACTGTGGTGGAAGTAGGTTAAAATACTGGCCCTTTTCACATGGCATATCCCCTCTCTCTCTCTCTTTCTCACACACACACTTTCCCTTTTTCTCACACTTTCCCTTCCCATTCTTTTCCTCTATTTCAGAGGTTTTGAATATGAATGTAAACGTGGCTGAAACCTCCTGGGATGACTGATGGGATGACTGGAGCATGAAAGCATCAAAGTTTCATCAAATGGTCCAGCAAGAAGCAGGAAGACTCTTCCTGTCTCTCACACTCACAGATGCAGAATGATTACATGTAAAAAATGCAGATTTTGTTCGTTGAGTTGCTGAAGCAGTATGTTTCTCTGAACATTTCTGAAATATGTCATCACGGATACTGAAAACACACGCAACTGAGTTAACCTCTGTCTCCCATTAGTAACGAGTAAGGTGCAGAGGCAGACTCGGCTAGAAGTTGGACGAATTTAATTTCTAAAAGTATTGCAAAATATCTGCAAGTATGGATAGCACATTTCTAAAGTGCTGTTTATTTTAAGGAGATGAAACTAATTTAAAGTATAGCTGCTAATTTTTCTATTAGAGGTGATTGTACATCTAAAATAATTATTACAGGAGTGCGGATTTGAGGAATATTGGAGTGGAAGAATTCAAATACCATGTCAGGGCTAAATGCAGAGAATAATGGGCAGAAGAAACCTGGGAAACGCAAAATTGACAGAAAAATTATAATGGTGAAAAAAAACAAATACATGTTATTCTCTAGATTTTGATTTCATTGGAATTTAGGATAAAGCGTTAATTGAGTGCTTATTTGAGAATGTTTTTGCATTTTCTGAATATATTACTAAAGCATGGAATAGGATGAGAAAAATTACTAATGATAGATGAAATCTTCATACTTTATTTTATATGGATTACAGACTATTTATGAACTGAATACTGTGTATACTGACATTAACAGATGCAAACATGTCGCTTTTGTTTGGCTTGGGTTATGTTTGTCCAAACGTATTCATTATGTTTATACTATGGCTACGTGTATATATGTATTTACGTCTTTTAATTTCATTGTTGGATAGCTTCTGGGGAATTATATGTATGCTATTCACATTTATATGTGTCAATATTTTGTGCTGTTCGATGCTGGTGGTCATAAATATCAGAAAGTTTGTTGTGTTGTTGATTAATGTGTTTTAATAAATGGGTCATGAATAGGGATGGACATGAAAACAAAACTATTAATTCATTCATAAGTGCTGCAGCCTTATTTATAGAAAACAAATCGTCAGTTGGACCTGGACTTCAAATATTAACTGATAGCATTTTTGTTCTACACAGTGACTTTTATGTTTAAAGAATAGTTTGACATTTTGGGGAATATGCTATTTAGATAGCAATACAGATAAGAGACAGTTAGCTTAGCTCAGCCCAAAGACTGAGAGCAGGGGGAAATAGCTAGCCTGGCTCAGGTAGAAGAAATATGCACGATAATTTACCAGCAACTCTTAAAGCTTGAGAAATGAACACATTATTTGTTGTTTCTTTATCCCATATAGGAAGTGTCAAAACAGGATATTACATTGTTTTTATCTTCGGACAGAGGGAGGCTAACTGCTTCGTCGTGCTTCCAGTCTTTGTGCTAAGTTGAGCTAATATCTGGCTCTAGCCTCATATTTAATGTACAGACATGAGAGTGGCATCAATCTTCTTATCTAAGTCTCGGCAAGAAAGTGAATAAATGTTCTCCAAAAATGTCAAACTATCCCTTTAATAATTCAGATAGCATGACTCTGAAATTGCTGAGGCTAGCTAGTAAGGTTTGTTTTAACATAGTTGGATATATGCTTCATTTTCTTGCGTTCTCTCACTTGTGTTCATGTCTTCACAAAAGTTGCATTGCATTTGTTTCTCAAAGCCCCTGTATTACAAGAGTACGTGACTGTATGTATTTCTGTACCTAGCTCAGTCAGCCACAATGCCACAGCGCCGTAGATTTCATCAAGGATCAGAATGACCACTAGGTTGATGATGACCGCAGTGGCCGTCACCGTCACCCGGACATTGGATTTGGTCTCCGGGTCGGGGCTCATCGCCATCAGGGCCGACACTGTGATGCGGTAGATGATGACGCCGAAAACTGCTGAAAATGTCAAGCCAAACTGGGAGCAAAACGGAAATAAGAAACAAGATAAATTAGTCATTACTCAACCATATTTGTCCGATACTCACTGTGCAGAGGCTGGAATTAATATAAATAATTAAAAGATCGATGTAGGTCACTCATACACTCATTTATGTACATTAGCTATGTCGTATACATGTTTGTTTTTCTATTTAAAGTGCTTTCATCCATACATACAGAGAAAATATATGTTTCAAGTAGAGCAGTAACCTGATTTTTATGTACTTACCATAAAGAGGATAGAGGAAATGTTGATGAAGTATCCAGGAAGACGGTCTTTCCAGGTCAACTTCTCAATGGCAGCCTGACAGGAAGGACGGGGGGGAGGAAAAGAGAGGAAAAGTTGGCAGTCATTCATACAATGTCCAATGCTTCATCAACGTTTGTGGGGAAATCTGCGATGCAGAACACAGAGCCGCCCACTGAGACATCGCCAAAGAAAAGAAAGGAAGAAAAAGCCTGTTTCATATTGACACTGATTAAAAAACAAATCTCTCTCCAGTGCCCTGATGTGAAAAGCATTGTCAAAGTTCCCTTTCCTCCTTTCAAACGGTTTGTAAAAGCTGAATGGAGAGTTGAAGCAGCAGCAGCATCTGTATTTCACCGCCTCCACAGGAAGTATTACTACATCTCAACAGAGAGACATAAAGGAGCACAATAGCCCATTTTACAGCCTGCATCCTACAATTTAAAGACCAGCTTGGAACAAACGTCTTCATTCTGTTGATGCTAAAATACCCAGACAGCCCCCAGTTAATGTGATGTATAATTTTCCGTGGCACTTATATGGGAACATTTTGTGAAAAAATATGCGTACATAAGAAGACATAAATTAAACTACAGACAAATTTTGTGAAAATGTACTAAATGAAAGTAGTAGGTAAATACAATTATTTTTTACCTTTGTCATGATCACCTTGCATGACTCAACAACTTTGTGCTGCATTAACAAACTTCCTGGTATCTACTTAAAGAAATGCTGTAGTTCAACATTTTGGAAATTATTTGCTTTCTTGCTGAAAGTTCCATAGCACTTTCATACTTTCATGCTAAATATGAAACTATTTTACAGCCAGGAGACAGTTAGCTTTTCCTAGCATAGAGACTATAAGCAAGGGAAAACAGCTAGCCGGCCTCTGTGCGGAGGTAAAAACTGGAAGCTGTGGTTTAGTCTAGCACATGACTCCCTATAAATCCACAACTTCATTCATTTCAGTCATTTTTACACTTCAGTTTTTGTACATATTAAAAAAAAACAGATATAACATGTTAATTAGTTAGCTCTAGAGGCTAGCTGGGAACAAATGTTTTGATTCATTTGATGCTAAAATACCCAGAGAGCCCCCAGTTAACGTGATCTCAGGCACTAATGTGGGAACAATATCGCTACTGTACATAAGAAGACGTGAAATAACAGTCTACAGTGTTATAAATGAAAGTAGTAGCTAAATTTAAAGTGCACCTTGTATCACTTTGTACAGCATTAACAAACTTGCTGGTATCTACTCAATGAATTACAGGAGTTCAACATTTTGGAACTTATTTGCTTTCATACTCCTCACCTACACGCTAAAAACTGTGTTCTGAAATCTGGACTCAATCATGAAAGTTCTGGATTGTCTGGTGATAAAATGGGGGTAATATCAGGATTGGAGAAGGATGAAAAAGCATTTCAGACTTTCTTAACTCAACCCTCATGACCACCCAATTTAGTGTGTATGGTATGCTTCCCTGAACTTAAAACCAGTGGGAGTAGCTGACCTACTTGCATCAAAAAGAAAAGTCACTTCACTGGCCTGTCTGTGGTTAAATATGGTTTGATCTCTGCAAAGACCAATGCTGCATCTCCATCCTCAGGTATGTGACCCCCTTCACCCATATACACACATATACACACATGGGCAGGCTCAGGAATTTCACACACACACACACAGACACACATAGAGGCACTCACACAGACCACAGAAGGATGGACAGAGATTCTGTACATCCAAATACCTTTAATATGCTCACTAGCAAGACAACACCACCATCTAGTGAATACACAGGCACAGTGCAATCTGCCCTTACTCTATTCCCACAGACACACAGCTCTTTACTTTTGATAGTTTGATCCATCAAAAGCATAAAACTACAATACCATAGCCACTATAAAAGTTACTGCTCATTCTTAAACTAATATTCAGCCAGTATTCCATTATGTAAATTGGTGCAGTGTTTCTACAGTCTGGCGCAGTGTTTCTCCTGCAGCTGAGTTTTAGAAATGTTTCCTGTGAAGAAGTGTTTTACAAAACGTAGAAAAACTGAATGAAAAATGTTCAAATACAAACTCTTAATATTTCTCGGAGCTGGTGTCCCACAAACATTCAGATCTGGCTGCATTCATAACCAGCAAGTTCTCATAAATTTATCCAAACTCTGCAGCGTTTCCTCCTGTATCTTCTTTTGTTTGTGAAAATAATACTATTTGCAAAAAATACCTCCCTTTCCAAGCACAAGGGAGAAATTACTGTTGCCTGTGAAACGAGAATGGCCATATCTAGAGACAGTTTTTGGTTTATCCCTTCTGGGCTATTGTAGAAACAGGGCAGTTCAATGTGGCGGACTCCCTAGAAGTTCCCTTTGTAGATAAAAGCTCATTCTAAAGTAATGTAAACACACTGATTTTTATTTTCAGATGGTTATACACTAATGAAAACATATTAGTAGATCCTCCTAAATGTTAAACACTGGACCTTTAAAGAACCAAACACAGAAATTAAAAAGTATAGTTCAGATTAAAGAAAACCAACTGTACATCTCACATCTTCCACGTTACTGCTAGCTAGTGATGGCTAGCTAAAGTTAACTAGGTAATAGGTTAGCAAACTGTTGCTACAGCTTCAGACGGCTATACTCACAACTCTCCTGCTACTATAGCTAACATTACAACAACAGCATATCTTGGCAAACTAGATGTTAACCTCAATGTCCCTTTTTTTGCAGCACACACACAGATTAGTTAGTGGACTGTGAGGAGATATTGTCTGATTTTAACAAAATGTGTATTGGATTAGAATCACTGACCCCACCTTTAGGCGTAAAGGTGGGGTCAGTGATTCTAATGGTCAGATTAGACAGTGATTGTCAGCGACTGGGCTATATCTTGGTACTGCTCCGTGCAGTGTTGGCTATCAGACCGCTGAAAAGAACGTGACTTCAAAACTGGGTATAGGACAACCAGAGTTTGGACCACAAGAGAAAAGATATGGCCAAGGGAATGAACAGAGGAGCGAGTGACATGGAGAATAATACTGTGAGTCTCTGTTACGAGGATAAAGGCTTTTGTTGGACTGTTCCTCAACGGAGGTTACAAACAAATATAACACCTGACCCATTTACTACTACCCTTGTCTCTGATGGTTCTTCCCACCAACCACTCTGTCAAGGTCTTTTTGTTCCTTCAAGTCGATCCCTCAGGTTTGCTTAACCTGTGGTGTTTGTGCGCCTGCTCTTCAGTATCTTGCTCGAAATCAAGACTTTGTGGCACCAAAAGGCAGTTCTTATCCTATCTTTG